GGTGGAGACATGGGGCAGTCCTAGGGGAGAGGTTTTAGGGGTGGGTAGGGGGCAGAGACAGGCATGACCTAGGTGAGGGGGGCTGGGTTCCTGCACCTTGCCCTGCTCATACGCATATGGAAATGGTGATCACACCACACATGTGAGGTATTGCCACGTCCTTCAGAGTGAGAGCAATAATTCTAGCACCAAACCTCCTCTGTAGCTCTAAACTGGTAACCTGTAAAGGCTTATAAAATGTTGCCAATGGAGATTTTTAAATACGGTTGTTTTGAACCATTTCATAAGCATGCGTATATTTAAAGCGTGACATTGGTTTGGTATCTATTTACTCAGTGCAACACCATATTTTATCAAAAATTTGGTATTATATAGTTTTCAAAAATTGCGTTCGAAAATTTGCTTGGCAAATACGGTGTGACATAAAAATATTGCAAAACACATCATTTTATTCTCTAGTGCATTGGCTAAAAAATATATAATGGTTTTTAGCAAAAATACTGATTTTTACTTGTAAACAAAAAGTGTCAGAAGAAGGCCTGGTCTTAAAGGGGTTCATACCGAAAGGTGCTCTTTGGATGTTGGGCCTCTGTATGTGGCTAAAACTGTGAAAAAGTCTCACACATGTGGTATCGCTATACTCTGAAGGAGTAGTGGAATGTGTTTTGGGGTGTAGTTGCAAGTATGCCTATGCAACTACATATAACTATCAATTTTTAATGATAGGACCAAATAATATGCACTGAATTGGGTTATTTTTACCAAAGAAATGTAGTAGTAGTTAACTTTTGGTCACAATTTATGAAGAAAAATAACTTATTTGCAAAATTGTTTAACAGAAAAACATGCTTTTCCCAAAAAAAATGTTGGTCTTTTTTTTCATTTATAGTGCAAACATTTTAAAATGTGCTGATTAAATACCACCAAAAGAAGCTCTATTTGTGTGAATAAAATGATTATAAGTTCATATGAGTACAGTGTTGCATGACTGAGTAATTGTCATTCAAACTGTGAGACTGCTGAAAGCTGAAATTTGAAAGGCTTCTATTCATTCCTATTATCCTATCTTATTAAATATATTCCTGTAATTTAATGTAAATATCCTATTCCTATGCCATTGAACGTATGGGTAATAAAAAAGCAAACAAAAACTTCTTCTGGTATTTTTAAATGTGAAACTAAATAATTTGCTGCTATGCATTAGGGAAATGTAAACTACAGTAGCTGTCATACTGAAATACTAACAACACTTGTTGAAAATTTGCAGCCATCAATTTCAAACGTTGCTGACAGCCAGGGGTTGGCTCACTGGCTCAGAGCAGGAAAAAGATTTTAATTGCTGTACCTTGCAAAAACCATTTTAGGTGTTACATTAAGCAGTGGCTCAGACGCAACAACTGTATTAGTTTTTCTAATACAACATATTGTAAGGAATGACTACTGAATGTCTCAATGTGTAATAAATGACTGTTCCACTAGGTGGTGCTGGAACCTCTTACTATTTTTTTCCCTTTAGTCTCTTGTTTGCAGCCATTTGCTGTATAAACAGTATATACAGTACAATAACTGCAGTTTTGATCACATTTTCTTTATTTGTAATGATTTAGTATGGAAGGACCATCCTAACATATAGGATTTAATTGCTGCAGACTGTAAGATCTGATTTAATTAAAAATTCCAGGCATGGTATATTTTTACATAGTTACATTGGTCCAGCTTGTGTATACACGTGCAACTCAAGAAATTAGAATATCATGCAAAAGTTTATTTATTTTCAGTAATGCAACTTAAAAAGGTGAAACTAATATATGAGATAGACTCATTACATGCAAAGCAAGATAGTTCAAGCCGTGATTTGTCATAATTGTGATGATTATGGCTTACAGCTCATGAAAACCCCAAATCCACAATCTCAGAAAATTAGAATATTGTGAAAAGGTGCAATATTCTAGGCTCAAAGTGTCCCACTCTAATCAGCTAATTAAGCCATAACACCTGCAAAGGGTTCCTGAGCCTTTAAATGATCTCTCGGTCTGGTTCAGTAGGAATCACAATCATGGGAAAGACTGCTGACCTGACAGTTGTGCAGAAAACCATCATTGACACCCTCCATAAGGAGGGAAAGCCTCAAAAAGGTAATTGCAAAAGAAGTTGGATGTTCCCAAAGTGCTGTATCAAAGCACATTAATAGAAAGTTATGTGGAAGGGAAAAGTGTGGAAGAGAAAGGTGATGCACAAGCAGCAGCGATGACCGTAGCCTGGAGAGGATTGTCAGGAAAAGGCCATTCAAAAGTGCTGGGGACTTTCACAAGGAGTGGACTGAGGCTGGAGTCAGTGCATCAAGAGCCACCACACACAGACGGATCCTGGACATGGGCTTCATGGACATGGGCTTCAAATGTCGTATTCCTCTTGTCAAGCCGCTCCTGAACAACAAACAACGTCAGAAGCGTCTTACCTGGCTAAAGAAAAACAGACCTGGTCTGTTGCTCAGTGGTCCAAAGTCCTCTTTTCTGATGAGAGCAACTTTTGCATCTCATTTGGAAACCAAGGACCTCGAGTATGGAGGAAGAATGGAGAGGCACACACTGCAAGATGCTTGAAGTCCAGTGTGAAGTTTCCACAGTCTGTGTTGATTTGGGGAGCCATGTCATCTGCAGGTGTTGGTCCACTGTGCTTCTGTCAGGGCTCCGGGTATGACCAGAGGTATGTGAACTGACGCAGGGAAACGCAGGCTTCAGATATGTTATAAACAATATAATTTATTAATACTAACAATACATAAACGCAGTGCAATACTAAAACATAACAGTGCAAATGAACCAAACGAAACCACCCACAGATAACAATACATACAATGCAAGCGTAGTCAGGCAGGCCGGGTCAACAACAATCAGGCAGGTAGGAACAGGAGGAGCAGGCAGAGAGTAGTCAGGTCACGAGCCGGGTACAGCAACTAACGGGCAGGTAGGTACAGGGGGTCAGGCAGAGAAATGGTCGGGGTCACAAGCCAGGGATCAAACAGGAGAAGTCAGCAGAGGTCCGGATCAGGCAGGGTCAGAAACAAATCAGTCAGACAGGAACAGGAACAGGAACAGGAATGCAGGTAACAAGATACAGGGGCCCATGGAAAAACACACACCAAGGCCCAGACTGCAGGTCTGGCCATCCCTTAAATACACCTCCGTAATCAGCTTCAGGTGTTTGGCTGACTGCAGGGTTGAGTCTCTGATTGCTGAGAGCACCCGCTGGCCAGCCCTGGTACTGCAGCCCACAAGGCAGGTGAGTCCCAAAATTACTGGCAAGTCCATTCCTGACAGTACCCCCCCCCTCAAGGAGCAGCCTCGGGATGCTCCAAACAGTCCTAGCTGGGCAAAATGTTCCACCGCCTGGGGTCTGGTAACTGGCGGGATATCAAAGACTGGCACATCGGGCAGGACTCCGGGCAGTGGCACATCGGGCTGGACTCCGGGCAGCGGCACATCGGGCTGGACTCCGGGCAGCGGCACATCGGGCTGGACTCCGGGCAGCGGCACATCGGGCTGGACTCCGGGCAGAGGCACATCGGGCTGGACTTCACCAGGCAGAGCAGCAGGCTTCGGATCACCAGGCGGAGCAGCCGGATCACCGGGCCACCAGGCGGGGCAGCAGGCACCGGGCCACCAGGCGGAGCAGCAGGCACCGGGCCACCAGGCGGGGCAGCAGGCACCGGGCCACCAGGCGGGGCAGCAGGCACCGGGGCCACCAGGCGGGGCAGCAGGCACCGGGCCCCCAGGTGGAGCGGCAGGCATCGGGTCCCCAAGCGGAGCGACAGGCATCGGGCCCCCAGGCGGAGTGACAGGCATCAGGCCCCCAGGCGGAGCGACAGGCATCGGGCCCCCAGGCGGAGTGACGGGCACCGGGCCCCCAGGCAGAGCGGCGGGCATCGGGCCCCCAGGCGGGGCGGCACAGGGCCCCCAGGGCCCCCAGGGCCCCCAGGTGAGCGGCGGGCGCCGGGACCCCAGACGGAGCGGCGGGCGCCGGGCCCTCAGGCGGAGCGGCAGGCGCCGGGCCCCCCAGGAGGGGGCGGCAGGCACCAGGCCCCCGGGTGGCGACAGGCATCGGGCCCCCAGGCAGGGAGGCGGGCGCCGGGCCCCCAGGCGGAGCGGCGGGCGCCGGGGCCCCCAGGCAAAGCGGCGGGCGCCAGGACCCCAGGCGGAAGCAGGCGGGCGCCAGACCCCCAGGAGGGCAGCGGGCGCCGGTCCCCCAGGCAGAGCGGCAGGCACCGGGTCCCCAGGCACGACAGCGGGCACGGGTCACCAGGCATCAGGTCATTTGGCTCACCAGCGGGCTCCGCGTCATCTGGCAAGGCAGTGGGCACCGAGTCACCAGGCACGACAGTGGGTTCCGAGTCAACTGGCATGACTGCGGGCACTGGGTCAGACATTGGATCGTCTGGCTCGACAGCGGGCATCGGTCACCAGGCATGACAGCGGGCACTGGGTCATCAGGCATTGGATTGTCTGGCTCGACAGCGGGCATCGGGTCACCAGGTATGACAGCGGGCACTGGGTCACCAGGCATCAGGTCATTTGGCTCGCCAGCGGGCACCGCGTCATCTGGCAAGACAGTGGGCACCGAGTCACCAGGCACGACAGTGGGCTCCGAGTTAACTGGCATGACCGCGGGCACTGGGTCAGACATTGGATCGTCTGGCTCGACAGCGGGCATCGGGTCACCAGGCATCAGGTCAATCGGCTCGACAGCGGGCACCGCGTCATCTGGCAAGGCAGTGGGCACCGAGTCACCAGGCACGACAGTGGGCACTGAGTCAATTGGCACGACAGCGGCACCGGGTCACAGTGGTACCGCGTCTGGCTGAGCAGGCACCGGGTCATCTGGGCACCGGGCACCGGGTCACCAGGCATCAGCGGCTCTGAGTCAATTGGCACGACAGCGGGCACCGGGTCATCAGGTACCGGATCGTCTGGCTCGACAGCAGGCACCGGGTCATCTGGCGCTGGATCGTCTGGCTCGACAGCGGGCACCGGGTCACCAGGCATGACAGCGGGCACTGGGTCATCAGGCATTGGATCGTCTGGCTCGACAGCGGGCATCGGGTCACCAGGCATGACAGCGGGCACCGGATCATCAGGCATTGGATCGTCTGGCTCGACAGCAGGCATCGGGTCGCCAGGTATGACAGCGGGCCCTGGGTCATCAGGCGTGATAGGATCATCAGGCTGGATCAGTTCACCAGGCTGGGTACAGACATCAGGCTGGGTAGAGACATCAGGCTGGGTAGAGACATCAGGCTGAAGTGCGGGTGCCGAGGCACCAGGCTGAACCACGGAAGGCAGGTTCTCAGACAGCAGGCTCACCCGGTTTGGATACTGGCAGGATGGTACTGGTTGGCAAGAATTTTCACTTTTTTCTGGTTTGAACTACTGGAGCACTGCAAGTAAACGCAGGTCTGCAAATGAATGGAGCAGCTGAGGACAGAGAGAAGAGCTGGAAGATGGAACAGAGGAGGGAGCAGCCGCCACAGAGACCTCTCCACAGGCCAAAGAAAGGATAGGTGCAGCGAGTGGGAGCAGGGGACTGGTATGTGGTTGTTAGCAGAGTATACTGGCCGTCACTGGGGTGCTGTCGGGGATGCAGGAAGAGTGCCTTGAGCAGAGGAATGACGTTGCAAGCTGACTGAGGCTGGGTGCAACAAGTCTGACCATGTCTGCAGTATGGGTTGAACAAAGCTGAGCTTACACAAGGCCTGTCTGGTCAAAGACTGCACTGAGTTTATACAATCCCTTAATACCTGTTGTGAACATGCAGCATAATGCTCCAAGAAGCAATCCACATCATCCTCCAATAACCATACCAGGGACTCTACCTGGTCTGCACTAAATGGTGGCAAAAAGTCATTCCTGCTTTCAGGGGTACCAGATGAAGCCAACTCTACACAAACCTGAATCAAAGGTTGCACCTTAGAGAACTCTGTGCCCTGATCTACTAGAACATGAGCGATCCGTATACATTCTAGCAGTTGATCCCGGGTATACTCCCTCAGAGTCTGATAAGCATATTCTCTGTCATCAAAAACCAGCAGCGACAAAATACACAACCTCATCAAGATCCATCCTTCCCAGCAACAAGCCAAGATGGCTTCCCTGTGCAGCCACTTCTGGTCAGGATTGGCCTTGGTGTAATGTCAGGGCTCCGGGTATGACCAGAGGTATGTGAACTGACGCAGGGAAACGCAGGCTTCAGATATGTTATAAACAATATAATTTATTAATACTAACAATACATAAACGCAGTGCAATACTAAAACATAACACAGTGCAAACGAACCAAACCAAACCACCCACAGATAACAATACATACAATGCAAGCGTAGTCAGGCAGGCCGGGTCAACAACAATCGGGCAGGTAGGAACAGGAGGAGCAGGCAGAGAGTAGTCAGGTCACGAGCTGGGTACAGCAACTAATGGGCAGGTAGGTACAGGGGGTCAGGCAGAGAATGGTCGGGGTCACAAGCCAGGGATCAAACAGGAGAAGTCAGCAGAGGTCCGGATCAGGCAGGGTCAGCAACAAATCAGTCAGACTGGAACAGGAATAGGAATGCAGGTAACAAGATACAGGGGCCCATGGAAAAAGCACACACCAAGGCCCAGACTGCAGGTCTGGCCATCCCTTAAATACACCTCCTCCGTAATCAGCTTCAGGTGTTTGGCTGACTGCAGGGTTGAGTCTCTGATTGCTGAGAGCACCCGCTGGCCAGCCCTGGTACTGCAGCCCACAAGGCAGGTGAGTTCCACCATTACTGGCAAGTCCATTCCTGACAGCTTCATTAAGTCCAGTGTCAATGCAGCCGTCTACCAGGAGATTTTGGAGCACTTTATGCTTCCTTCCGCAGACAAGCTTTATGAGGATGCTGACTTCATTTTCCAGCAGGACTTGGCACCTGCCCACACTGCCAAAAGCACCAAAACCTGGTTCAATGACTGTGGGATTACTGTGCTTGATTGGCCAGCAAACTCGCCTGACCTGAACCCCATAGAGAATCTATGAGGCATGCCAAGGGAAAGATGAGAGACATGAGACCGAACAATGCAGAAGAGCTGAAGGCCGCTATTGAAGCATCCTGGTCTTCCATAACACCTCAGCAGTGCCACAGGCTGATAGCTTCCATGCCACGCCGCATTGAGGCAGTAATTGCTGCAAAAGGGGCCCAAACCAAGTACTGAGTACACATGCATGCTTATACTTTTCAGAGGTCCGATATTGTTCTATGTACAATCCTTGTTTTATTGATTGCATGTAATATTCTAATTTTCTGAGATTGTGGATTTGGGGTTTTCATGAGCTGTAAGCCACAATCATCACAATTATGACAAATCAATGCTTGAACTATTTTGCTTTGCATGTAATGTAAATTAACTTTTGCACGATACACACACAAACACACATACACTCATTCCTGGTTTGCTATGTTTTTTTACTATTTGCAAAGTTGATGTGTGCCTCACTTAAATTGCAATTTTCAATGCTTAACTCTGAATACTTGTATACCTCTGTAAACTGTAGCAGGAGCTCCAAACTGCACTTGTTAGGCTTTCAGTTCAGATTTTAAATGCCGTCTTGATCCACATACAAGAGATTAATCTCCTCCATAGCAATTACAGACAGGAATAAAATCCTAATATGTTCTATCCCTTATACAGAGGGGGTAGGCAAAAAATGGAAAACACTACATGATTTGCAGGTGTGAAAATTACAACATGTTTCATGTTGAAAGTGGCAGTGATATAACATGCCTCTGCTTCTGCTGTGTGATGAGACACCTAGCTAACAGGTGGGAAGCCTCACTTTCGTCATTCACTGTGTGCATTGCTAGTAATATGGAGTCAAATCAGAGCTTACTGAGTTTCATAGAGGACAAATTGTTGGTGCCACTTAGCTGGTGCCTCTGTGACTGAAGTTGCCACTTTATAGGTATTTGCTGTGTTTGCAAGGTATGGGTCACTGATTATTTTGTATGGTTCTTTGTTGATATCAGGGGCCACACTTGAGGGACTCTATATCATGTATGTTAACCACCACTTGCTTTCACATATTTTATGATGAATGTCTTTAGCAAAAGGGAACATGTCTTTACTTTTGCTGGCCTGCACTAGGCTCTGTATAAAAATATGTGCAGCTGACAGATTTTCTTTGAACCTGAACTTTATGTCAATAAGACCTTTGACAAGAAAATTTGGAGGTGATGTTGCCTGGGGTGGGTGATCACAGACATGTCAACAGTGACAAGCTATTGTAGGAAGATATGACTATTTGGTTGTAGTGACTTTCCTCTAATAATACAGTAGCAAGGTATCCTTAGTTGATCATGCAAGTGTTAATTTCCTTTTCTGAAATATTTTGTGGAAAATCAGTGCTTTTTGGCATGCGATAGTGTTATCTGATAAGCAGAAAAATATTTACTGCCATACTGTATATACCTATATTGTTACAAACAGGAGTCTGTATCCACTGAGAATAGGAAAGTTCAGGTAATTTCAGGAGCTTGACTAAGGGTAGAGAGGTAGCAAACAGGTACTGATAGCGGAGTGTATAAGCAAGTGGCAACCACTCCAACCTATAACTAGCCTCTGCAGCAAGGAGCACATGGAAGGGCAATGCATGTCAAAAACAAACACAAATTCCCAGCTCATGTGCCAGCCAGCCTGAAACAAAACCAAATATACCCTGTGTAACAGTTCATGTTAAAAACAAGGGGTTTAGTTTGCACACATTTGAAAATATATGTGTAAGCTGCAGTGGCCACGTCAACTCACCCCAAGGTACGGCATTCCTATAATTTTGAGAGTCTCCCAAGTTGGAGCATTTATAGTACTGGATAGGTTAATGGCAGGTGTGCCTAGAGGGAGCCCACCCTTCCTTAAAGGTACAGGAATGCACAGGACATCCAACAAGGGCACAATGGCAGCTGAAGGTATCCAATGAGTCCCTGCACCAGTTTACCAACTACACAAACATATAGCAACCACCCCAACCTATAACTAGCCTTTGCAGCAAGGAGCACAAGGAAGGGCAATGCGGAGTGATAGCAGAGTGTAGCAGGCCAGATGACTGGGTAGAGACACAGGTTTTACTGAGGCACACAATGGGCACTGGAGGCACTAAATAACATCTGATGTTCTGGGGTGCACTGAAGTCATAATGCAACACTGGGGTCAGTTGATGACACAGGATGCTCTGGGATGCATTGGAGTCATAGGGCATACTAAGGCACCCTGGGGTCACTACTTTACACAGGATATTCTGTAGTAGACTGGAGTCACAGAGTCCACAAGGGAACACTGGGGTCACTAGATAACACAGAGTGGGATGTGCTGGAGCCACAGGGCACACAGGAGCACACTGGTGTCATTAGATTTACTTGGTGCATACTGAGCATGCTGGAGATTCTGGGTACATTGGGTGCACTGAAGTCACTGGGTGTAGTAGGCATGTTGAAGTCTAATAGTGCACTGGGAGCACAGAGTTAACCCCTTCCCGCCTAGCATACGCAAATATGTGGCCCCACTGGACTTGGCTTTTTTTCCGTGGGGCCGCATATTTGCGTATCTGCATTTGTGCTGGGAGCGCGCCGCACATCAGGCTCCTGGCACAGAGACCATGGTCTCGCCGAAAGCCCCCTACTAAAGATTGGGATCCAGAACTCCCGCTTCCGTGTCACCTGATCACCGTGATATCCGAGATATCCATTACCATTAACCACCAAATGAAAGCCCAATTTGTTCTGAAAAAAAACCCAAGGTATTATCCACCTGGATGCACAAAGTAGTTGGGATGATATGTACAGTTTTACTAACACATGTCAAAGCTGCAAGATTGTGCTTAGGCGTTAACATTTGTTTTACCATTAGGCGCGAAAGGGTTAAGTACTTAAGCCAGAAGGGAGGCTCAACTAAAGCATAGCAGCACACTTTATAATTTAAAGCCAATCAAGGGCTGTCTCCTGATTGCATCAGCACCAATCAGATGAGTTGTCTCCTGGCTGTGGTGCCAGTGCTCAGGCTGAACCCTGCAAGTGTTGATAGCAATGCCCTGGAGAGAACATCAAATGCAGGTTCCTAGGTGAGGTCAATGCAACAGTACTCTCCTCTCATGGGACCTCCCCACTGGCTGAGGTCCTGGCTTCAATGGAAAGTGGAAATTGATTTATTTTTACCAGGTGCGGAGCTAACACATTAGATGTGGTGACCCAGAAATTTATTTCAGGGTTAAAGGTACTGAGATTTTCTACAAAAAATCTTGGGAGTCCAGAAATTTCTGAATCTTGTATTCACGAGATGGATTCAAAGAAGGCGTAAGTAGAAGCCAAAGGCTGAGAGAATCTATTCAGTGCCAGAGGTTTGAACCGTTTACTATGCTTCAGTTATGAATTAACACAGTGAGTGATTGGTACTCATTCAGGAAAGGAAGGGGCTGGTAAATGTGACATATTTACCAGAACCTTCCCTCACTTTCCATCATCCTGAAGGATATCATTGTGTGCTTGTAGCTGCCGGTGGGAAGGAGAGGAGAGAAGCCTGCAGAACTGCAGGGCACACTGCTGGGGGGGGGGGTTTAATCCACAGCCCTGATGTCAGCTATGCAATTTTATAGAATTAAAG